AATTTTTTAAAATTGTAAACAATTTTTTTGGCCCATAAACAAATAGAATATTTTTGTAACTATTAGTTTAAATTAAATTCATAAAACGGCGTTGAAAAAGACTCGCAAGACGCTTCTTTTAAAAGGAAAAAAGTTGCATTACGAACAGTGGTTCCTGAGATATAATCGGTCAAAGTTGACCGACTTTTGCGACGAAATTGTAAATAATTGTAAACAATTGTAAACAAAAAAAGGCCGAAAAATTTTTCGCAGATATCTGAAGCTTTTAAGACATAGGTGGGGGTTACTAGATGACGAATAGATGAAAAAGTACTCGTATTTTTACCTTGCGTTTTTTTTAAACAAAAATTTATGGTCACAATTTGATTTTTTGTCTATACGTTTTTTTTATATCCCACATAAACAATATTTATATCATTTTTTTTATATCAAGAATATCTTTATTTTCCTGTTTTTTTTTTTAAATTAAAATTGATAAATAATTTACTAAGATATTTGCAAAAAAGCAGTTTTTTTGCACTAATTTATAACTTTTATTAATTTTTTTTATTAACAAAATAAAATATTACTACTACATTTGAACATCGAGGATTACCATCTTTTAAATTTATGCGAAATTTCCCCCCGATCGGTCAAATACACTCCGCGTCATAGAAAACGGGTCACCCCAAATATTTAAAATATTTTCGAAATTATTATTTATTGCTACAAAATTAAGCATTTTTTTTCGTATATTGAATCAATAACTCGTTTAGAATAAAATTTCATCATTATCGTAAAACATCAATCGAAAATAAAAAATTTAAGAAAAATAGGAAATTTATTGAAAATATCAACTTACAGTTTTTAAAACAACAATGAACTGTATATTAAAAATAAAGCTGGTATCCATTTTCAGAAATGGGTATTGCCACCTCGATTCTAGATGACACTCCTCGTTCGATTTGGCATGGAATTTATAACGTTTTGGATATCTCTTTGAGGAAAAGTGGCCCATTCCTCAATGAGTGCCATCTAGAGCTCTTCAGGTGTTGTTGGAGCAGGTATGCGACGCCTAACGCGACTTTTTAGCAGGCTCCATATATGCTCAATAGGATTTAAATCGGGGCTTTGAGCAGGCCAGTCTATTTATTGAATACCAACCTGCATTCGCAGGAATTCGTTGGCAATAAATCCAGCATAAGGCATCACATGATGTACGATTTCCGTTATGTACCTTACTGCTATTAACGCACCTCTGTCGATCACGATGAGATCCGTTTGCGCATCAAAAAAAATCCCCGCCCAAAACATTACTGAACCACCACCAAAAGCAACCCGTGGTGCCCAAGTGCAACCAGCGAAACGTTCTCCAGCTCGTCTGTACACCTAACTACGTCCGTCTTTACCCTAAATAGACATTCTACACTCATCCGTAAACAATACTTTTTTCCAATCGTCTGCTGTCCAATGGATGTGCTCACGGGCAAAATCTAGTCTTCGACTTTTGTGAGCTGAGGAAAGTAAGGGTCCCGTTGCTGGACTGCAAGCTGTCAAACCTTGCTTCCTTAATCTCCGCCGAATAGTAAAAAGTCCTTGAGCTTGCTGTAAATGGCCTTGAAGCATTCTAGCGGTTTGGGTCCGATTCCGTAATGCAGCAAGAAGGACGACGCGATCTTCCCTAGCGGTTGTTTTCCTTTTTGGACCCTTACCAGGTCGTCGTTGGTGAGATCCTGTGACAATAAATCGTTGCTGGGTTCTTTGTACAGTCGAACGACTAACATTCAATTGTCTTGCAACTTGTCTTTGACTTAATCCACTTCCCAGTAACGTTACAATTTTTTAACGGATTTTTGAAAATTCTCCATCGTTATTAACTGAAGACTACTTCACACTAAGTCGGCGACTGTAATACTGAGATGTGTTTTAAAACTCATTAGAACTCTTTACAATATCAAACATTTATCAAAACAATCGCTTCCTCGAAAATTGATCAAGTTGTAAACAACTTTTTTCAAAATTGTTTTGTTTTATAGCTTCTACGAATATCCTAAATCTAGTTACAGGGTCGGTTTGCTTACGCAACAACCCATTTAACTTAAATAACCCAAGGCATATTAAAAATAAAATAATGTTAATTCAATTAATTTTGTAGCAATAAATAATAATTTCGAAAATATTTTAAATATTTGGGGTGGCCCGTTTTCTATGACGCGGAGTGTAGTTTAAAAGTTATTTAATTTATTTCTCTGAGGTTAAATATTTAAACTATTTAGCTTGTTCTATTAATCATGCTAGACACATTTAGCAAATTTCATAGGATTCTTTAAGGTTTAAACTATCTCAGAAGTTAAATGTATATTGCGTTTCCATCGAAATTATTTGCAAAATAAACGTTTTAAAAAGGGGTATGTTTTTTACTTATAAACAATTGTAATAACTTCTATATGTTTCCAGCTACAGACTTGTACGTACAACCATTGGATACCTGGTAAAAAAATTCACATTTAGGAACGAAGTTAGGGACTATTTTTAAAAAAATCATATCTCCATTGTTTATAAACATTAAGAAGTAAAATTTGCACAAATTTTAAATAAAAATCTAAACTTTATATTGAAACTTATAGCTATAAAATTCATCAAATTTTTCGAAACTTACAGCCCTTTGAAACGAAGGTACTTTCGAAAGATCGACAGAGGAAATTGGAGGGGATAACTGTTTCAGTTCCGTTTTTTTTTTGAGATCGGAACTTCAACTTGAAACACGTAGGAAAAATTTACATTATCTCGGTTTCCATTGCAGCTAGAAGCCTCTCTTTTTTTTAATCTGGGGTAGGTCGTCGAAATATGAATAACTACATAGTTTGGGCCGGTCACTGGCCGGGAAATATGGGAAACCTCGGAAAAGTTGAGTCCATTTGAAATTCACCGTAAAAACTTACTTTTCTTTTATTTTGCTGGAATAGTCTGTCTCGCAGTATTAATAATGATGACATAATTTTCACCCAAACGGGAATCTCGGAAAATCCCGGAAAATCAACATAATTATAATTAATATAAGGAATGTAATAATATAATGTGTAAAAAATTACCTGAAATTTAATTTATAAAATATATAAGTATTATTACATCATTGATATGAAATTAAAAAAAATGTTTGTTGATTTTTGATTTTCCGAGATTTTCGGGGGAGGTGAAAATTATGTCATAATTCCAGCCTAATTAAAAAAAAAGTAAGTTTTTACGGCGAATTTTAAATGGACTCAATTCTTCTGAGGTTTCCCATATTTCCTGGCCGGTGAAAACTATTCATATTTCGACGAGCTACCCCAGATTAAAAAAAGAGGCTTCTAGCTACAATGGAAGCCCAGTTTCAATGTAAAGTTTCGATCTCGAAAAAAAAAGAATCTGAAACAGTTATCCCCTCCACTTTCCTATGTCGATCTTTCAAAAGAACTTTCGTTTCGAAGGGCTGTAAGTTTCGAAAAATTTGATGAATTTTATAGCTATAAGTTTCAATATAAAGTTTAGATTTTCATTTACAATTTGTGCAAATTTTACTTCTTAGTGTTTATATTATTATTATAACGGAGATATGATTTTTTTAAAATAGTCCCTAACTTCGTTCCTATTGGTGATAGAAGGTTTTTTTAATGTGAGTTTTTTTACCAGCTATCCAGTGGTTGTACGTACAAGTCTATAGCTTGAAAAATATAGAAGTTATTACAATTGTTTATAAGTAAAACACAAAACTTTTTCATACGTTTATTTTGTGAATAATTTCAACGAAAACGCAATATGCATTTAACTTCTGAGATAGTTTAAGTCTTAAAGAATTTTATGAAATTTGCTTAATGTGTCTAGCATCATTAATATAAAGTTCAATAGTTTAAATATTGAGCCCCAGAAATAAATAAATTAAAAAACTTTTAAACTATTTGACCGATCGGGGGGATTTTGCACAAATTTAAAAGACGGTAATTCCTCGATGTTCACATGTATTAATAACATTTTATTTTGTTAATAAAAAATTAATAAATATTATAAATTAGTGCAAAAAAACTGCTTTTTTGCAAATATCTCCGTAAATTATTTATCAATTTTAATTAAAAAACGGGAAAATAAAGATATTCTTGATATAAAAAAATGATATAAATATTGTTTATGTAAAATATAACGACAAAAAAACCAAATTGTGACCATAAATTATTGTTTAAAAAAACGCAAGGTAAAAATACGAGTACTTTTTCATCTATTCGTCATCTAGTAACCCCACCTAGTCTTAAAAGCTTCAGATATCTGCGAAAAATTTTTCCGTGAAACCGACATTTTTTGCATAACCAGACTGGGCTAATAATTAGCTTTCTATTTCGGAGCTGTTTCTCGATACAAATTTTTCGCGTAAAGAATAAAAAAAACTAGGGTGAAGAAAATTTAATTTCAAAGTTCAAAATCGGTATACGTAAAAAATGTATTTTCTCTGCTACCAATGTATTTTTCTAAAGCTTAAAGTTGGCAAGTACCCTTGTCTTGTCAAGTACTTTTTTGTGTGATGCGTCTCGTCACAACACGCATAAAAAAGAAAAAAAATATTTTCGCCTAAAAAGTGTATGGGAATTTTCTCGGCTTCCTTCCATCCGATTTAGATCTGTTTTATTAAATCGTTGTTTAGGACGACAATTATTTCAAATATGATATTTTCAGATGCGTATTTTAATTGCAAAACGAGAAATTTACAATAAACAATTGTATGCTGTTCAACAATCGCATTTTCTTTCTATACAATTTTTGTGTCTGAACTTGCAAATTACATAATGAAGTAAATTTTTACTTTTCTTTCTTTGTTATTTTCCCTCAAAATCTTGATGTCATATCTTTATTTTTTCTGACATCGAAATACCTTCCCTTAAAATTAAAATTTTCTATTAGAGCATTGTGAATCAGTATTTGAAAATCAGCAACTGGTGTGCTGTCTTTGAAACATTTTCCCGCCTATAAATTCGATCGAATATCTTTTTTACCTGTATTTTCTCTTACAAAATACGCCTGCGCCGTCAGCCTGGTGCGTGCATAAACCTTCACATTGCAGGGAATCGAGGACGATGTTATGACGTGGAGACTCCAAACTCCGACTCCTTGCGTCGCATCCAGAAAAATTTCTCGTTGACCTCGTTCTGTAAAACCGAATGATCCAGTTCCATACGATGCAATGTCATCATTGTCCGTTAATGTCACGCGCTGTCCTGAAAAAGGCGTGTTTTAAATGCCACTGCAACGTTGGAGTTTGACAGGTCAGTCAAAATATTTGTTTGAAATTTTAAGATATGGTCTAAGGACCAAAAACAATACAACAAAACATTATTTAGTGTTATTACTTTGAAACATACAAAAAAATACGGAAGTAACTGGTAGACTGCCTGGATATTTTCTTAATCTTATAAATTTATTTACCTGTTGAAGTTGTGAGTATTCCTTCAACATCTGCAGGAGTTAATATTATGTGTATAAAAACGACTTCTGAATCAATGGGAAAATTGAATGTGGAATCATCTGTGATATTTGATTTTGCAAATATAATCGACTACAACAAAAATTATTAAAAATAATACACACTTCTAAAATATAGGTCAAACAGGCAACAGGTGTATGTTCTCAAAAAATTTATAGTGTGTAAATTTTTTATTACAATAAGAGTGCTTCGGCATGTATCATGCCATTTTCAGTGCTTCGGCGTATAGGTTACAAATACCTCATGGAAGAGTGATTGTCGCCACAAAACACATTAAAAAACATCAGGCCAACGCTTTTGTTATTAGGGTGAAAACCCTTTTAAACTTGCAAAATTACATTTAAAAGATGCTTGGTATACCAATGGCTGGCAATGTTAAAACGAGGAAAAGCTGATTTCCTTTGCTGAAACTGAAAAAATGCTTCATTAATTGCGATTTAGCTTTCTTATTTTTAGTGATCGGGTTTCTGTACCATTACCTTTTCAAGTTTCGCAAACGTTGGTTTCGGTATGTCGTTTTCATTTTAACCTGATCGTCACAACCCCATGTGTTAATAATATAATCAGAGCTTATTAATCCGTGAAACTTGTTAAACTGTTTATCTGCAGGTTATTAACAACCAGCAGTAGTTTTCTTTTGGTTTATATGTAATGCATACCGTACTTCAACGGCATTTCTCTATTCTAACATTCTAATTCTCTAAATATTCTACAGAGTTCTCAGTAATGACCTATTGTCGTCATCTTGGAGGTTATTCATATGTTTTGCTACTGACTTTGACATATTTGGTTTCGTTTTCATCGATGTGTAAAAGGTTTTTCAACGTACATATGTTGAATAGTATCGGCAACACTGGAAAACTTTTAAGACGTGAAATGGTTCCATTGGTAGATGACTATTAATATTCACCTCTACCATCTGATTCCAGTATAGAGAGATTAATGTTTTTACCTTATTTAGGCTTTGTCGCCTCCTCAAGGGTGGTATTTTTATAGGGAAACGTCAACTTAGGCATATTGCCTCTCTCCAGGACTAAGTGGTGGCTACAAAGCAGTAGTGTCAGAAGGATTTCCTGCCTTTGGGTACCGGTTGGACCAAGCCCTCCATTAAGTATAAGTTCTACTGAAAACGGTCCTTTTCAGATTGTTGGCCTTTTTTGTTTTGGTCGGTTTAAACGCGTATAGGATCGCTGTGGCTGTGTCTTCACCTAGGATCAGGTATCGTTGTGCAGTGAGATCGGAAAACCACAGAAAATCAATCTTGCCCTGTCCTTAAGATTTTGAATGCGATTCTTATTAAAGAGTGTACAGGGTGCTCACTGTTTGGTGTGGGTTGTGTTTGTGTAGGTTTATGTAGTTATTGGTTGTGTGTTGTTAGTTTGTTTCTTTTTTGGTGTTGGTGTATTTACTGGTTTGTGAGCTTGGGTGGAAGGAAAGTATTCATTCGTCTGGTATTTGACCTATATGATATATTTTTTAAACATATATGAAGTATTTTGTATTTACATGCCTCATACGTATAAAGGATTCGTTTTATACTTACAGTGTTCAAATCTTGGTGACTACCACTAATGAAATTTCTGTAATTGTAACCTGACAAATCCTTAATATTATTAAATAAAAACAAACCGCCAGAGTAGGAACATAGTTCCTGCAATAAACGTTCTTCATTGTTTTTTGTTGGATATGGTCCTCCCCAAATTACATATACCTAAAAAATATATATTTATTAAGTAAAACAAATCAGTTTTCTTTATTTACTTACTCTGATATTTTTCTTCTTGATAATGGCTGTGTGTCCTGCCAGGTCTTCATCATTAATTTTTCTATCAATGAAAATAACGATGGCGCTATCTATAGGTAAAGCTGCGGCAGCTTGTAGGGTAGCGAAGAAAGCAACAGCTCCCAACGGCTGTGGAACTCCTAGTTCAAGGTTTTGATCTCGGGTTCTGTACGAAAGTGCGTTGTAAAGCTGCTCGGTATCGCTACCTTTTATTTCTAATATTGGCGCGGAACCTAAAAGTAATTAATGTAAGAATATAATTCGATTTAAAATAGAACTTATAAAGGTTTTTTATCATATTAGTAAAACAATTACCACAGTCAATCTGAAAAAAATCATCGATTTCACGTCAAAAGCTTTACAGGTTTTTGAAGGTTCTTAAAGGTATGTGTAGAAAAAAGTAATGAAGTACTGAGAGTAATCTCTCTAGGACACATAACGCGCCATAGGGAGATTGAGCAGCTCCAGGTAATATTAGAAGGCAAGATTGAAGGTAAAAGGGGCATAGGACGAAAGAAAAAATCTTGGCTACGAAACATTAGAGATTTGACCCACACAAGAGGAAATGAATTAATTCATCAAGCTCAGAACAGAGAGAAGTTTGCCATATTGATCGCCAACCTCAACAGAGAAGGCACTTAGGAAGAGTAAGAAAGTTATGTCAGGGATAGCTGATGAGACAAATCCTTACACAGCTGATTACGTACAGCTGATTTTGGTGTGTTTTTCAAACAATAATAAAATGTTAATATTTTTGGCAATGCATACTCTTTTAGCCAAATAGTTTATGTGGATATAAGAAATAAAATTTGTGTATACTTAGAATTCCTGATTAACAAAGGCTTTACACAAGGATGTTGTATATCACCATACCATTATATAAAATATATGTTGCAGCAGTTTTAAAGAAGTGGAAAAGAAAAATGTCAGAGTTCCATAATATTCCAATCGTCAGAGAGTTGACCCCTAAAAATCATACGAACAAGCTGAATTTTGCGACGAATATTAATTTTGGGACCCCAAAAAGATGCAAAAAAGTTTACAACTTTTACCCCTGGGCTTACCCCTAAAACTCCCTTTGTAGGGGATAAAAACGCAAAAACACGATTTACTAAGAATCTAAGACACAGAAAAAAATGTTTCAAATAAAAAATGTAGCTGAGATAATCTTAAACAAAAATGTTTATTAACACTTTTTTATGTAAAATGAACCGTTCTGTCAGAAACAACGCTTGCAGCGACCGTCGATCTTGAATATCAGTTACACCCAGTATTTTACAATACTAAAATACAGGGTGTTTCATTTAAGAAAACTCATTCCAAGTTTCCATTTTATTTATTTATAACGTTTTTATTACTTTTTTTAACACCTCGAGAGCAGCTGGATTGATTTGACTAATTTTGATTTTGAAATATTTGTATAAAATAAAGTAAAATAAATTAAAATAAATCAAAATAAGATGCTGGTGTGAAGTTCGTTCAAGTTCATGAAAACTAAAAGCGGAACTTCAAAACTTCGGAAAAGTGCAATATCTCGGGTTCTATATTATAATGTAGAGTCGTCTTTTTTATTGGGGTAGCTCGTCTAAAAAGTTCTAACATATTTTCACCCCTATGAAACCCACCAACCTCTAAAAATTTAGTGTTTTATCATTTTTTCTTTTTTTTTGCATTTTTTCCATTTGTTAATTTTTTTTTACTATTTTTATTAATCAATTAAATTTTGTTTATACACTCACCGGCAAAATTAACGGAACACCTTAAAAATGGGACATGTTAGATGACTCGAATTTCCTAAACCTGTTGTCCGATTTTAGTGATTTTTTTAGTATGTTATAGGTATATTATTTAAGAATATCAATCAAATAATATTGTTGCTAGACAGGTCAACGTCATTTTATACCGGGTGTAACAATCATACTGTGTTTTTTCCTTAAAGTTCGAAATACCCTGTGAAATATTCTAGCATATATAAAATATTGAAATTAAAGCTCAATTATAGTCTCAGGCTTTCTTAACATTTTCTTTTTTGATTCATTTGCTTGTGTTGGATAATAAAAAAGTTAGGTACGTTAACAACTAGCCATGTTTTTCATCAATAAATGCTCATTTTCTTCTTAGTTTCACCAGCATATTTAAAGGAACAACCATAAAATCTGAGTATTTTCTCTCTAGTCTATATACTGTTTAGATAATATCATAATACGAATGTTGGTGAAGTATTTTGAATTTATATTACAATGGTAGTACAATATAAAACCTGTTTAAGAAGAAATAAAACACAAAGATGTCAGACTCAACAAAATACGGATTTTAAATGCATTAACTTTATTGAACAGTTTGAACTTAAATTGTTCGCATTTTTTTGGCTTTAATAGCGTGTGTTTCCCCTACGAGCCTTTACAACTGCAGTTATTCGTCTTCTCATACTTCTGATAACGCTATCGATCAGTTGTTGGGCAGCCTCTCCCATTCCTCAATCTTTTGCAATTGTGACTTCTTCTCTGTTTTGAATAGCAGGAACCCGTGCCCTAAGTTTTCTGCCTAGTCGTAAGTAGTCTGCCTAAATTGTAGTCGTGCTAACCGATGGTGTCTCTGGAGTCTGGGAGCTTTTATTGGCACATATGACTTGAGACCGGCTTCTTTAAGTCTCTTTCTTATTGTGCGCTCAATTAAATACAAGTTTGTACTTGTTATGAACAGACAGAGTGACTGTAAAATGTAAAACACAATACAAATAAACAAATTAATTTGACATTTTGACATTTAAGACTTTCTTGTGACAAGGAGCTTTCAAAGCTATGTAGATATAGTCTATACAATACAAATATAAAGAAATATTGCATTAATAACAGATTCCTTTAAACTTGCCGGTGTGTGCATTAAATTGTTAACTTCTCATAGCCTACTTTAGGCTTGTTTTTAAACTAAGCAGAAAATGAGGATTTATTGATGAAAAACATGGCTAATTGTTAACGTACCTAACTTTTTTATTATCAAACATAAGCAAATGAATCAAAAAAGAAAATGTTAAGAAAGCCTGAGGCTATAATTAAGTTTTAATTTCAATATTTTATATATGCTAGAATATTCCACAGGGTGTTCCGAACTTTAAGGAAAAAACACAGTAGGATTGTTACACCCAATATAAAATGACATTGACCTTTCTAGCAACAATATTATTACATCGATATTCTTAAATAATATACCTATAACATACTAAAAAAATCACTAAAATCGGACAACAGGTTTAGGAAATTCGAGACATTTAACATGTCCCAATTTTAAGGTGTTCCGTTAATTTTGCCGGTGAGTGTATTATTTTGAAAGAATACAATGTTTGAAACCCAATGAAAAATGAAATTTATTTATAAAAAACATTTTTGTTTTCGTCTGCTACAGCACTCATCTTCTCTGAGGCCTCTATCTCTCATAACATTTCCTATGTACGAGCTCTAACAACTATATGTTGGAACAAGCAGTTATTTTGGTATGGTATGGTATAACTGGGATAAAGTTATCTATAGCGATGAAAGCAAATTTTATGTGTGTGTAGGAGATTATCGAAGATTGGAAAAAGTGTGATTCGAGAAGCATTCCATAAGGATTTTCTCTAAAGAAATGTAAAATTTCAACAAGACATCATGGTGTGGGGTTGTATGTCGGCTAAAGGGTTGGGAACTTTACATTTTATTGAGGCCATAATAAACGCAGCTAAATATTAAGATATCCTTGAATATTCGTTTGTACCAAGTGCGGCAAAGTTATATCCATCCGGAGATTTTATCTTTCAGCAGGACGGAGAATCATGCCATACGGCTAAATTTACCAAAAAATGGCTGGGATAACATGGCATCAAAGTTTTGTCACATCCTTCTAGCAGACCAGATCTTAATTCAATAGAGACATAGCGTACTTTGCCAAAACTACGTGCTAAATTACAAGAAATGTGGGGTTTCACTATCCTCTAAACTAAAGAATTTCACTAAATTTTGTAAAGATCTAGTTGATACAATCTTTAATACAGTTCAGGCTCTTATTCACGCTAAGGGCGACGTTACGCCTTAATAATTTGTATTTTAATTTTTTTAAATCCTCTTATTCCAATATTTAGTTGTCAGCATTTTTGGCTATTAATCAATTAATGAAATGGGAATCAAAATAAAATACATAATTAAACTGTAAAAATAATTCCACATATCATAAAAATATTGTTAATTTCATATCTACAATTTAAAAAAATTAAAACAAAATAATTTCGGTAAACTGGCATTTTATTCGCAAAATAACTGCTTGTTCCAACATATAGTTGTTAGGGCTCGTATGTTTTCCAACTTGTAGCAGGTCTTCCTGTCTATCTTCTTCTGGACGTGTATACCAGTCCAATATTCTTTTCCTGAATGTCACCTATGCTCTAGTATTTTTGTACATGTCCGTACCACTGCGGTGCTGTTTTCCAATTTTTTTGTAATTAAGCATTCTACTTCCATTCTGGTCCATATTTCCTCTGTTCTTATTCTGTCAGTTCTGGCGATTTAATTGCTAACAACAGATAACAGATTTGACCAAATTGTATACACAGATTCTTCTAAGAGTCCTATAGCTGTTAAATGTGCTGTAACTTAAAATACAGATTTAATCATATCTTGTAATCTTCCACTCTTCTGCTGCATACATACTGCTGAATTATTATCTATTTTTCAAGCTACAAACTTACTCTCACCAGAATATAAAAAAGTAGCAATATGTACAGACTCTTTAGCAAATATACTAAGTGACATAGAAATCCGAACACCTAATTTAAATGATTTTATTTTAATAAAATTTTATATAAGTACTTAATGAAGCATAATAAGTAAATGATTAAAATTTCAAAATGATTTCATTGCTTTAAAGCCCTTTTACGTTTAATAATGTGTGGATGCACCCCGATGTGTTACGCATTCTCCATCGCGCCTAGGCATGCTTCTGATCAGGTGGTCAATGTCCTCTTGTGGTATCTCATTCCAGGCAACCACCAACTCCTCTCGAAGTGCTTGTAGAGTCTGAGGAGGACGTTGCAAATTGAGCAATCTCCTACCCATCATATCCTACACGTGCTCAATTGGGGATAAGTCGGGAGATTTTGGTGGCCATGCTAACAATGTGACATCATTATGTTGAAAGAAGTCTATTGTGACTCTTGCAACATGTGGTCGGGTATTATCTTGTTGGAAAGTTGGATTTGCCAGGG